TCGGGCACACCCTTCAGGGAAACGTAACGCCAGAGTTTAGGGTGGTCGACTGAGTCGAAAACCGCTTTCAGGTCGAGGAAGATGGAAATGGTGGGTCTACGAAAAGTGTGTGTTCTACGATTTTACGAAGAGTGGAGATGTGGCCGATACAACCTCGATCGGGTCTAAAACCAGCCTAGTTCTCACGCGTGCACTCTTCACGTGCAGTAGACACTCGATGGAGTATGATCCCGACGGGAAGTTTAGAAGCGATATTGATTAAACTAATTCCTCTGTGGTTTTCACAAGGGATCTATCATGTTTCTTGTAAATCGGTATGATCACCGATTGACACCATTCAGTTGGAACCCGTTCCCTCTCCCACACTGAGCCCAGGAGTTTTGTTAACTCGAAAGCGAAGGCTGAACCTGCATCCTTAAAAACCGATGGGGTTAGCCCATCTGGGCCGGAGGCCTTCATTGTCGTATGTTAACCCCAGTGAAAGCGGTAGAAACCCATTCGCGACCATCCACATATATGGTTCCAATGATAACTGTTGGAGTCGCTTAAGTTCCCCTTGCCCCCATGTGATAAACGTCGACAATCGGATAGATGCGAAAAACCATTGCGAGTTTCGCATCCGCTTTCATGATCAAATTAACCCCAGTAATTGGTGAGGATTATTGTTTGTTAGAGAAGCTAATAGACATGGCCCAGAATAGAAGTCGTCGACGTGAATGCTGTGTGGTCTGCCTGTGGAAATCCCGTGTCCCATAAAGTCGATGAACTAAAACACAAAATTATCAAACAGTGTACGGTGAAACAAACTAAAAATTCTTATTCTTGTTAGATTATTCCACTGTGATTTTCTGATCCTCATTCCACTCTGTTTGGTACCATTAGCTTGTGTTAATATTGTTTTTAGGTTGTCACTGTACTTGTTTGCCAGTCGATGATATATATCGTACCTTTCCATTTTCCTCTAGACCATTTCCGTTCTTCGAGGAAAATATGTGATAGATAGATAGATAGCAGGCCACTGAAAAACAGCTCGTTCCACACCCTGTGAGACTGTTCAAACAAACGTGTTTCATCCACTGCTTCTTCTTTCCCTATCATTCTCATTGCATTTTACCCTCACACACACACCCTGTCACGACTGCGTGTTCCGCATGGTGGTGGTGGTGGGCATATTGTGTACTTTCGCCGCACATACAAAAGTGTATTTGTTTATCCCACTCGGTCCTCCGATTGTAACGTTTTGAACAATCCTTCGTATGCACTGACATCTAGAAACATCAAAGATTCCAATTGCTCTCGTGTGTAACATTCTCCGCACGATGCGGGGGAGTCATGTAGAATGAATATGAGTTTAGTCAAAAAAAATTGCACAGAGAACCGCGCAACGTTCTTGTATTGGCGATTATTCGTGTTTATTTATTTGTTGTGCATTTTTTTCTTCTCAACACAAACTGGTTGATCGTAACACAAAAATGGGTCTTTCGGTTCAAAAGTTCAAAACACAATAGACGTGTGTGCACATGGACTGTCCTGCGGAGGATCAGCTGAGGTGCGTTCGACAAAGTGAACCGAAATCGGGACGGATCTGTGACAGGGGGTGGATGATGGGTGGGTGAGGAGAGAAATTTGTAAAGAGACAAAAGCGGAACAGAACAGACATTAATTCGTCTGCCTAACACATTTGTTCGGTGTATTGTGATATACAATATCTCTCATTTTTTAAATGAAATTCAGTTTTTTAAGAGTAGCAAATTTGGAACAGTCCACTCGATTGTTCACAGGCATTGTTGATGACCTTGGATGTGGGTTTCACTCCTTGGGAGATCGTTAAACCCGCATTAGTGGAATACGTTTATAAACGATGCAAAGATCTGTGATGACCAACAGCTATTTCATCCTGTTTGGGACTCGTCAGTAGTGTATACTTTTTGTGTCTCTATCAGGACTCGAACGGCGAACATTAGGGTTGGGACTTGCAACCGTTACCCCTGGGCTACACGGTTCCCAGTCATCAGCCTGTACGAATGGTTTAAGCAATCAAGAGTAATAAAGTTAGAGTAACTCATCGGATTGTTCACAGGCACCAGGCACTGTTAATGGTCTTTTGCATCCGCCAAGTAGTTGAAGATATCCGGCATTTATGTGACTAAGCGCACGCTTCTTTGTGAACTGCTAAATTGCATTGTGCAATCCACTCTGAATACACACACAGTATCATATCAATATAAACAGAGTCATATTCTGAACACGGCAGTTCTAGTTATTTCAGTCCTGTGGTAAACTTGATCAAATAGCACGATGAACTTCACCTCGCCAGGGAATCGGGCACATCATCTACAGTTCCGTGTTGCAGGACTGGTAAAAAACATTACTTTCCGTGGAGCGACCTCATCATTATCCATCACCTAGGCATGCTCCAAGCCTTATTGTTTCCATACCTCTAAGCGTTGTGTTCAAAAACAGCTTAATGTTGGAACGGTCCTTGCCATATATGACGCTCTGCAATGTTGAATGTCTTCAGACTGCGTTGTTTTTGTTATTCCTTGCATGTTTTTACTGTCATTTATAATAACTGCAGTTAAATATCTAGCAACCTAAGAGAGTAGTAGTAAGCATTTTCCATCACATAATTTACCTCTACCGGAGGAATTTTGTTAGGTAAGTAAACCCGAACAGAAAAGTTCGGGAACACTGCGCAGCTGTCTCAGCTTTGTAAGGTCTTATCCGTGCAGTGAGAATCCATCGACCCAGCTGAAAACTGTGAACCAGGAACCTCATAGGTGGAACGCAAATATGTGACCAAATCGATCGCCACACAACTGTTCAATCTGTTTAATTGTTTCTGTGCATAATTTAGAACGTATGACGTTTGCAAGCTTGTTGCGGACATCTCTTCTCTCTCATTGCAGCACTAACCCTCTGAGCTTATGACTCAATCAGACACATTTCGAGTTCACCTGAGCGTTGTTTTTATTAGCTGTCCGATGATTCGGTTACAATTTGTAACAGAGTTGATGCAGTGACAGGTTTCTCTTGTTTTTTTGTTATTAACTCGCTACAACCACATCAATCTGCCAAAATGAAGCCCTCACGGCGAAATAATAATCAGTTAAAAAAACGGTTCAAGTGAAAAAACGCCTATGATATACAATTTACCGTGGTAGAACGAGCTACGCAATGCACAATACGAGAAAATCACAAACTGAATCCGCGGCTTCCCGCAACTGGACGCTTGTAAACACACCGAGGAAGCAAAAACGGTTCACTCTTTCTAACAGGCTGACCCCTACTCCGATATCACAAAGAACGAGTGGAATTGTGTTATTAGATTTCGCCGGTCTTATTGACAAGTACAAATAAATATTGAACTACGAATTAGAATAAGAGACAAAATGATGCATCTTTCGAATTAAACGGAAAGTTAGGTATGTCCTTATCAATCGCACATGAGGACAACTAACCTGCATGGCATATCGCAGTTCGGATGAAAAATGTCTGATAGTTATGATGGATTCATTAAAACGAGACCTAATTATCAGATATCCCCCTAAAAACCAATCATACAGAGAATGAACCGATTGAACTGGATTTGGTGGTGTCCTGGTGGTAGAAGTCACCAAACTAGCAACCCGGAGGACACGTGTGTTCAAATTTCACAACCACTACCTGACTTTCACCATAATGTTGTATGGCAGCCCTTTGATTGGCCGCTTCCCTCTTCTGGAAGATCGTACTACTATACATTCAATAAAGGGAAGTAAAAATGGAAAAAATAGGTAACGTATTGCGCATATTCACTTACTTGAACCATTCAAATCTAACTGGTTCGTGAGAATGTTGTTGATTTCAAAAAGAAAGAAAAACTGAAGGAAGAACAGAAAGCGCACAGTCTCGTCACAACTGAGCACCACCTGCACAGACGGTATCAAAGCTGCCAGATCCGGTGACGAGGAGAGACAGAGAATGTTAGGTGAACAGTGCCTGCTCAATGAGTAGTTTCTGGTCGGCGTTCAGTTTCCGGGGAAATTGAATGTTGAATTGGATTCGCAAGTCCCCGTTTTTGCCTGGTTCATCGGCCAAAGGCATACCTTCACCAGGCACCACTTTCTCATAACCCGGGCTGAAATACGAGTGTAAAATCAGATGATCAACAGAGGATTTGGTCGTGCTAAGGACGTTTGTGTGAAGTTAAATAATTCATGTTAATTGCAAATTAAAGGAAACCGGAAGAACCGTTCGCTGCAATTGTCACGCGAATTGCCGAAACAAAGTTCATTATTTGAATCGGAAAAGTTCCTTTCCCATGAGTTTCTAGTGCTATAAAACGGAAGTTTCTTTTTAACTGGAGAAATGATTTGATGGGAAAAAATGTCGAAATAAAAGCTGCAGTTTGATGATTTAGTAAGCACGCGATGAATGCTTTTTAGCTCCCAGAAATCGGTGGATTGCGTGAAAATGGCAAATCTCTACGTGAAAACGATGATTTGAAGATACATTGAGCGCAAAACCGGTTTCCTTTGTGAATGATTCAACTCAGACCTGGAATCTGATCAGCTTCGACAATCTATTACACGGAGAGGGCGTTATCACACGTTTCCACTTCCTGCTTCTCAATTCAGACCAGGCTAACTCGTTGACATTCATCACCAAGCCCCATCCGAATTGATTCGCGTCAACAAATCGCAAAGATTGAAGCGTCAAACGGGACACATGAGTTGCTTGCGTGCATCCCGAAAATGGTCGAGTTACACGCAAGATCTCGATTAGCTAGACAAATAATGCAGGTAATTTAGACAAGTGGAATCCTGTTTCATTAAAGCGAGGCAACCCTTTAATTTTGCTCGACTATGAAGCCCATCTAATGAGAACAACACACCAATGCTCAGTGAGAAAGACTGGATTTCTTCTGGTTTGTACATTCAGTTTTTATTGGTACCATATCACAAAAGGGGGCTTCAGTTGAGGTGATCGGATATGATTTATCGATTCAGACGTATATTTTCAGTGGATCGTCGAGATGCCATTCAATTCAGTTCAGTTTTTACAAACATCAATCATACACACTGTGCGGTGGTTTTAGTTGTTGTCTTCATGCTGCCATTTGGATAAAAAAAATGGAAGACTGGAATGTTGAAAACAGAGTCAAACAGAATATAGAGAATTCATATAGACTAAGATTATAACGATCATTAGTAGATGCACAAGCACCACCAGTGTTTGTGACACTCAGCCATATCACTCAGTGTCACTAATCACCGGCTACGATGATCCCAAGATCCCCATCTGGCCATAGTCCTCATACCCTCGAGCTCTAGTGAAACGTGGTTGTAATTTAAACCTCAACTACTGACAAATTCGCGTTTGTTTAATTTTTCTCGATAACAGTGCCTTTTCAGACAAAACGATGGGACACTCTCGGCTCTTCGTTGTGAGGTTCGGTGCCCTTCAAGCGTTGGGTACTTCCGCTCATCTAAGTACCTCCCGTCACTACTGATTTCCTTTATTTTCGTCCTAGTCCCACCCTTCCGTGAATGACGTCACCCTTCATCATTCACTCTCCTTCACTAGCCTCCAAATCTGTCACAACCTATGAATTCTGACCTTGAACTGATCCGCATTTGGGTTGCAACAACCGTGGTCTCTTTAATGCTTCGTAGAATTTTTCTTGTTTTCGGACTCATAAACATTTCTACTCTTCTCTTCGTTTATGTTTGAACCCTCTGTTACACAAACCTGAACCTGTAAGATCTTACTTTTTTCTCTTTCATGAACTTTGTATTTATTTGGTAAGGTTAGTTTCCTGTTTGGCTTCAAAGGCGCTTTTAAGCCAATCGACTTATTATAAGCTCAGATAGAGAAATTGTCCTGTGCTCTCTCACATGTAATATGGAGACGCGGGCACTTTGATCTCACCATAGGAGGGCTTTTACAGACAAACTGTGTGCCCCCTCTTACACCCACCTACCGATCCGTGTCGTGCAAAATCGAACCGCAAACTGATCACAACTGATCCCAAATGCAAACCTCTTTGGAATTATGACCGTATGTACATATAGATTACACCTCACACGTAGCAGTGAAAAGATGAGACGTTGAGTTTTCGGCTAATGCATTTAATCGTTGAGTTAAAACATTAGTGAATGACCCAGTTTTCCCTCCTCTTTACCGTGAAAAGAGTTCTGCGTAACTAACGGTTAATAAAGGTACACAGTAGCTAATTCATTTATGGTTACTGGCTCGGGTGACAAGTATTTTGCATCTGCCGAACGTCTATTCAAATTCATGCTAAGCCACCAAATTGAATTAGCGTCAAATTCTGATTTCCAACTTCAGTCGTTTTATTAGGAATAAGGGTCATAGGAATGGCTCAACTTTATATCACAGGCTATTTCTCTGACTTTCGGAGCCAGGTTTGCACAGGGAGTAAGTAACCAGATCGAAAATGTCCACAGAATCAAGGTAGTCGTGGAATTAAACGGATCGTTAGATACCAATACAAACAAATAATGCAATCAAAAATTGTGCATAATCTACAACAGGAGGATATCACGATTACAGAATCGGCAAGGGTAAAATGATAATTTTTGACAAACTGCAACGGTTAACTGAGAGAATAGTAGAGAAGTTACTAAAAGTGAACGGCCTAAGAGCGGAACTCATTGGAATAGCAATTAGTTTTGTACTTACAGTGCTAAGTTTTCATTCCGAGCTCATACCGTCTTCATAAGTGTAAATCTTTTTGAGTGAACCATTTTTAGCTTACACTTAAATCCTTCACATGTTAAATCACTGTTATTGCCTCATAATTCTATCCAGATTTAGATTGTAATACAACTACATGAATACCAATTGTCGGTTATTACTCACTGGATAATTTCCGTAATAGGAACGTGCAGCAATCGACCATCCAATGTGGGCACATCCACAATACAACCCAGTAGGGCTTGCGCTAATGGAACAGCAGAAGTAAAAATCAAGTCCACTCCTTCACGTCTGAAATGCGGATGCGGACGATCTCGTAGAATGAAGACAATATCGGCTAGTGAATAAAATAAAGGGGGAAGATGAATTAAGTCAGAGAATCAAATGGATTGTCCGTGAGCAATTATAACCAGAATACGTTTACTTCAAAAATATTTGTACTGTAAAACTGTTTTACCAGTTTATGGGTGATCTAACGGCATTGAAAAAGATTAAGCCATCGTTGTTCTGTTCGTAAAATTTTGTTATATTGTATTGTATTATAATGAATTGTACAAGCAACTACATTTCTGTCGAAAACTGTGTTCATCTTTATATTGGGATAGAAATGATAAAAAGTCATATATAACAATGATACAATGTAAACAGTAGATTGTCTTCGTAGATTTACAATTAAGTTGTGTAGGACTTTCTTGTGGTCAGCTGGAGTGTGAGATAACTGGGTTAATGTTGAATTAGGATTAATTTTTATACGGACTAAGCCACCTCAGTGGATTGGGTTTTGGCATGGGAACGGTAGGCAAGTAAGTCGGGATCGATTGAGTGATTGGAGTCGTTCAGAGACTTATGGGAGGAATTCTCACATGAAGACCATAGATTTGAGTGAACTGTTGACAGGAACAAGAGGAACACGGCTGATAAGTTCCAAGTCGCAGCGCAAGTAATGAAATCATTTTTAATAAGGTGATGGAAAACTACTGGGTCTACAGTGAAGTATGGTAGGAAAGATGTACTGATAAATGTATATTTTAAAGCTTCAGTCGAAACTGTTGTTTTCGTATGTGGAAGAATAAGTGTTGCAGCTCACCAACACAGATAAGAACATGGAAAGACCGTAGTAGATTGCTCTCAGTGCTGACTCCTAAGTGGTTGGTGGTGTGTATTCTGATTATGGGTATGCAGGTGATGAGCAAGAGTTCCAAAGGATACTTAGACCACGGAAGACTTGGAACGAACTAGAAATATTCAGGGGCATTCGACTGGAGATTGAACTGGTCAGAGAACAGTTGCACTTAAGCTAAACCCATCAAAACATATTTCCATATCAAAATGGTCTGAGATAGCTTGTCACATTATATATATATATATATATATATATATATATATCAAATGGGAATTCGTCTTGTCTACGGCAAATGAAGCGTGAAGTGAAAAGCTAGGAAGCACTGGACAGTTGTTTCGACCTGGTCGGGTCTAATCAGCAGTGCGAATCCATCAATCTAACTGGGGATCGTACGCGGGACTTCAATTCACGCATCATTTGCTATATACACAACGAATTCCCATTTGGAATTTAATCAAATCCTCCATTACTCACATGAAATATATATATATATTTCACACGCCTGAGACCAGGCTGTGCTAAACAACTCCCAGTATAATAATCCTTATAAAAAGAAAAAAGTCCCGTGATTTGTTTGTGGTCGCGACACTGCCAGATTGCCCAAGTTAAAGGCTGGTAACTTTTCTCGGGGAATTCACAACCGAGGCCTTCAGCTAGTCAGTGCCTGACCCAAAACGCAACGGAACATTGTGTGAAAACCGCCTGTCATAGAAAAACAATCATCTTGCTTAAAACATTTAGGTTGGCGGGATAAAGAATAAATCACTGATGAATGCTGAAAACAACTATGGAGGGAATCACAAGACCCTGAAGGACTCCCGAGTTATTCACTAACGGTTTTAAAACAGTGTCACTTGTGCTTTCGTTTTGGAATCCTTCCTGCTGGTTTATGCCCGGATCACGGCTGAGAAGAAATATCGTTTCGGTATCTGGTTGTTAATTTTGATGTTTTTAAAGAACAACCCTCAATAAATCTGTTAAAAAATCTGCATTGGTCTGAGCCTAACAGGAACAATTTTTCTACTTTGAACATCGAAAAAATTATTCCTGTTTGCGAAACTGTATTTTTTCAATAAAACATGAAAAATTCCTCACTTGACTCCTACCAGGCTGCCCAATCACGTAGTTGGATCAAAACATTAAACTTGCTGTGATTTGGTGTTTGAGAAGCGTCGGAAAGGTTTATTTAGTCTCCCCCCCCCTTAGTTCGTGAATGATAAAGTACAGTCAAAGGTTACTAAACGAGGGGGTAACCTGCGGAACTCTATCTTATGCATTTGATCATGTGCGTTGTTAGGCCTCCCGATCGAAGTTCCTGGGATAAATCTGTCCGGGGTCAGCTAAAGAAGATGGGTCTCCCTTTTTCGTAGGCCTATTTTGTTACTAAATTCTACACTTGGTCTAATTCTATCCAGTTGTTCACCTTTATTCTGAACTTCAGCGGCTAATCAGTTCAACATTCAAAAGCCAACAAATTAAAAACAAATCATGGTGATTGGTTAAATTAATTTAAACCCAATATGGAACACAATTTTCATCATCCCCTCCCTATTCAACCGGGATTACATGCATTTCGGTATTAAAACCATTCAGATTATAACTCTGATCCCAGCATAAACGACTCTGTCTTTCGGTTTATCATTATCCGTTAGTAATATTTAGAAACTGAATTGTTTGAATACCGAAATGCAAATAAACACGGTCAAACAGGGGATAATGAAAATTGCGTTTCCGATTCCTTTGAAGTTAGTTTGACCAATGACCATGCGCGTCCGTTAGGATAAAATTAAGTTTTCAGAACGATATGTACGTACGGTACGTATCAGTCTAGGAAATAAGCGCTAAATAAGGAAACGTCTAAACCCGTAAAAGTAGAGCTTTTGATGTCAGTTAGTTGTGGGGGCCCAGTAACAACGTCAACAAATTATCACAGCCGGGGTGTGTTCGAATCCCACCACCACCGCATGACTTTCCCCATTATGTGCATTGCACGAGAGCCCTCTGATTCGCCGCTTCTCCGCTCCTGAAAATTGTATTATTGTATATTTAATTGAAAGAAGTAAAACGAAATGAAATGAAAAGAATCAGGTATCACACAATCAAATAGTATTCACCGTTCACAGGATTTCCTTCTAGTAAATGGATGACAAAAACAATGCGGTTGATTTAATCAGTGACAAAGGTAGTCAGTACTGATAACATGATCCCAGTTTATTCGTCAGTTACTGAATGCAATTAATGATCCTACAGAACGTTTCCAAATGCTATTGGCTAACATATCTCAAAATGTTTCTTAAATAATCAAGTCGTGAGTAGATCATAACCATCGATAGGATTCGAACCTGTG